CCAGTTAATCCAGTTTTTAAATCCTGGTCCAGGTCCCGGCCCCAGGTCCAGGTCCTGGCCCCAGATCAAGTCTTGAAAACTAAAGTGGCCTTTACCTGTTTTAGGACAAACGAGAAACAACCGGTAAAGGGCCACTTTAGATTATTTTGATATAGATTATATAGATTAAATATATAAGATATTTATATGTTTTCCCAAATATTTAAAACATTTTCTGATTCCTTTCCAATCCTCGTACAGTTTGCGTCGTGCAAATCAATCTTTAGTGGTTCCAAGAGAGAAAGAAGGAGCTGGAACACGTGCAGATGAATGTAAAGCTCATCTGAACAGACTTCTGCCTCTGGGTCAAACTGCTCTGCTTCAAACTGCTCTGGGTCAAACTGCTCTGCTTCAAACTGCTCTGGGTCAAACTGCTCTGGGTCAAACTGCTCTGCTTCAAACTGCTCTGCTTCAAACTGCTCTGGGTCAAACTGCTCTGCTTCAAACTGCTCTGGGTCAAACTGCTCTGCTTCAAACTGCTCTGGTTCAAACTGCTCTGGGTCAAACTGCTCTGGGTCAAACTGCTCTGCTTCAAACTGCTCTGGGTCAAACTGCTCTGGTTCAAACTGCTCTGCTTCAAACTGCTCTGGTTCAAACTGCTCTGGTTCAAACTGCTCTGGTTCAAACTGCTCTGGGTCAAACTGCTCTGGGTCAAACTGCTCTGCTTCAAACTGCTCTGGGTCAAACTGCTCTGGTTCAAACTGCTCTGCTTCAAACTGCTCTGGTTCAAACTGCTCTGGTTCAAACTGCTCTGGTTCAAACTGCTCTGGTTCAAACTGCTCTGCTTCAAACTGCTCTGCTTCAAACTGCTCTGGTTCAAACTGCTCTGGTTCAAACTGCTCTGGTTCAAACTGCTCTGGTTCAAACTGCTCTGGTTCAAACTGCTCTGGGTCAAACTGCTCTGGGTCAAACTGCTCTGCTTCAAACTGCTCTGGGTCAAACTGCTCTGGTTCAAACTGCTCTGCTTCAAACTGCTCTGCTTCAAACTGCTCTGCTTCAAACTGCTCTGGTTCAAACTGCTCTGCTTCAAACTGCTCTGCTTCAAACTGCTCTGCTTCAAACTGCTCTGGGTCAAACTGCTCTGCTTCAAACTGCTCTGGTTCAAACTGCTCTGGGTCAAACTGCTCTGGTTCAAACTGCTCTGGTTCAAACTGCTCTGGGTCAAACTGCTCTGGGTCAAACTGCTCTGGGTCAAACTGCTCTGCTTCAAACTGCTCTGCTTCAAACTGCTCTGGGTCAAACTGCTCTGGTTCAAACTGCTCTGCTTCAAACTGCTCTGCTTCAAACTGCTCTGGTTCAAACTGCTCTGGTTCAAACTGCTCTGGTTCAAACTGCTCTGGGTCAAACTGCTCTGCTTCAAACTGCTCTGGGTCAAACTGCTCTGGGTCAAACTGCTCTGCTTCAAACTGCTCTGGTTCAAACTGCTCTGGGTCAAACTGCTCTGGGTCAAACTGCTCTGGGTCAAACTGCTCTGCTTCAAACTGCTCTGGGTCAAACTGCTCTGCTTCAAACTGCTCTGGTTCAAACTGCTCTGGGTCAAACTGCTCTGCTTCAAACTGCTCTGGGTCAAACTGCTCTGCTTCAAACTGCTCTGCTTCAAACTGCTCTGGTTCAAACTGCTCTGGGTCAAACTGCTCTGCTTCAAACTGCTCTGCTTCAAACTGCTCTGGGTCAAACTGCTCTGGGTCAAACTGCTCTGGTTCAAACTGCTCTGCTTCAAACTGCTCTGGTTCAAACTGCTCTGCTTCAAACTGCTCTGGGTCAAACTGCTCTGGGTCAAACTGCTCTGGTTCAAACTGCTCTGGGTCAAACTGCTCTGCTTCAAACTGCTCTGGGTCAAACTGCTCTGGTTCAAACTGCTCTGCTTCAAACTGCTCTGCTTCAAACTGCTCTGGGTCAAACTGCTCTGCTTCAAACTGCTCTGGTTCAAACTGCTCTGGTTCAAACTGCTCTGGGTCAAACTGCTCTGGTTCAAACTGCTCTGCTTCAAACTGCTCTGGGTCAAACTGCTCTGCTTCAAACTGCTCTGCTTCAAACTGCTCTGCTTCAAACTGCTCTGGGTCAAACTGCTCTGGTTCAAACTGCTCTGCTTCAAACTGCTCTGCTTCAAACTGCTCTGCTTCAAACTGCTCTGCTTCAAACTGCTCTGCTTCAAACTGCTCTGCTTCAAACTGCTCTGGGTCAAACTGCTCTGGGTCAAACTGCTTCAAACTGCTCTGGGTCAAACTGCTCTGCTTCAAACTGCTCTGCTTCAAACTGCTCTGCTTCAAACTGCTCTGCTTCAAACTGCTCTGGGTCAAACTGCTCTGCTTCAAACTGCTCTGCTTCAAACTGCTCTGGTTCAAACTGCTCTGCTTCAAACTGCTCTGCTTCAAACTGCTCTGGGTCAAACTGCTCTGGGTCAAACTGCTCTGCTTCAAACTGCTCTGCTTCAAACTGCTCTGGGTCAAACTGCTCTGGTTCAAACTGCTCTGCTTCAAACTGCTCTGGTTCAAACTGCTCTGCTTCAAACTGCTCTGGGTCAAACTGCTCTGGGTCAAACTGCTCTGGTTCAAACTGCTCTGGGTCAAACTGCTCTGCTTCAAACTGCTCTGGGTCAAACTGCTCTGCTTCAAACTGCTCTGGGTCAAACTGCTCTGCTTCAAACTGCTCTGGGTCAAACTGCTCTGCTTCAAACTGCTCTGCTTCAAACTGCTCTGGGTCAAACTGCTCTGGGTCAAACTGCTCTGCTTCAAACTGCTCTGCTTCAAACTGCTCTGGGTCAAACTGCTCTGCTTCAAACTGCTCTGGTTCAAACTGCTCTGCTTCAAACTGCTCTGCTTCAAACTGCTCTGGTTCAAACTGCTCTGGGTCAAACTGCTCTGCTTCAAACTGCTCTGGGTCAAACTGCTCTGGGTCAAACTGCTCTGGGTCAAACTGCTCTGCTTCAAACTGCTCTGCTTCAAACTGCTCTGCTTCAAACTGCTCTGGTTCAAACTGCTCTGCTTCAAACTGCTCTGGGTCAAACTGCTCTGCTTCAAACTGCTCTGGGTCAAACTGCTCTGGGTCAAACTGCTCTGGGTCAAACTGCTCTGCTTCAAACTGCTCTGCTTCAAACTGCTCTGGGTCAAACTGCTCTGGGTCAAACTGCTCTGGTTCAAACTGCTCTGGGTCAAACTGCTCTGCTTCAAACTGCTCTGGGTCAAACTGCTCTGCTTCAAACTGCTCTGGGTCAAACTGCTCTGGGTCAAACTGCTCTGCTTCAAACTGCTCTGCTTCAAACTGCTCTGGGTCAAACTGCTCTGCTTCAAACTGCTCTGGGTCAAACTGCTCTGGGTCAAACTGCTCTGGTTCAAACTGCTCTGCTTCAAACTGCTCTGGGTCAAACTGCTCTGGGTCAAACTGCTCTGGTTCAAACTGCTCTGGTTCAAACTGCTCTGGGTCAAACTGCTCTGCTTCAAACTGCTCTGCTTCAAACTGCTCTGGGTCAAACTGCTCTGCTTCAAACTGCTCTGGGTCAAACTGCTCTGGGTCAAACTGCTCTGCTTCAAACTGCTCTGGGTCAAACTGCTCTGCTTCAAACTGCTCTGGTTCAAACTGCTCTGGTTCAAACTGCTCTGGGTCAAACTGCTCTGCTTCAAACTGCTCTGCTTCAAACTGCTCTGCTTCAAACTGCTCTGGGTCAAACTGCTCTGGGTCAAACTGCTCTGCTTCAAACTGCTCTGGGTCAAACTGCTCTGCTTCAAACTGCTCTGGGTCAAACTGCTCTGGGTCAAACTGCTCTGCTTCAAACTGCTCTGGGTCAAACTGCTCTGCTTCAAACTGCTCTGGGTCAAACTGCTCTGGGTCAAACTGCTCTGCTTCAAACTGCTCTGGGTCAAACTGCTCTGCTTCAAACTGCTCTGGGTCAAACTGCTCTGGGTCAAACTGCTCTGCTTCAAACTGCTCTGGGTCAAACTGCTCTGCTTCAAACTGCTCTGGTTCAAACTGCTCTGCTTCAAACTGCTCTGCTTCAAACTGCTCTGGGTCAAACTGCTCTGCTTCAAACTGCTCTGGGTCAAACTGCTCTGGGTCAAACTTCTCTGCTTCAAACTGCTCTGGGTCAAACTGCTCTGCTTCAAACTGCTCTGGTTCAAACTGCTCTGGGTCAAACTGCTCTGCTTCAAACTGCTCTGCTTCAAACTGCTCTGGGTCAAACTGCTCTGCTTCAAACTGCTCTGGGTCAAACTGCTCTGGGTCAAACTGCTCTGCTTCAAACTGCTCTGGGTCAAACTGCTCTGCTTCAAACTGCTCTGGTTCAAACTGCTCTGGGTCAAACTGCTCTGGTTCAAACTGCTCTGCTTCAAACTGCTCTGGGTCAAACTGCTCTGCTTCAAACTGCTCTGGGTCAAACTGCTCTGCTTCAAACTGCTCTGGGTCAAACTGCTCTGCTTCAAACTGCTCTGCTTCAAACTGCTCTGGGTCAAACTGCTCTGGGTCAAATTGCTCTGCTTCAAACTGCTCTGGTTCAAACTGCTCTGGGTCAAACTGCTCTGCTTCGCACTGCTCTGCTTCAAACTGCTCTGGGTCAAACTGCTCTGCTTCAAACTGCTCTGGGTCAAACTGCTCTGGGTCAAACTGCTCTGCTTCAAACTGCTCTGCTTCAAACTGCTCTGGGTCAAACTGCTCTGCTTCAAACTGCTCTGGGTCAAACTGCTCTGGTTCAAACTGCTCTGCTTCAAACTGCTCTGGGTCAAACTGCTCTGCTTCAAACTGCTCTGGGTCAAACTGCTCTGCTTCAAACTGCTCTGGGTCAAACTGCTCTGCTTCAAACTGCTCTGGGTCAAACTGCTCTGCTTCAAACTGCTCTGGGTCAAACTGCTCTGGGTCAAACTGCTCTGCTTCAAACTGCTCTGGTTCAAACTGCTCTGGGTCAAACTGCTCTGCTTCAAACTGCTCTGCTTCAAACTGCTCTGGGTCAAACTGCTCTGCTTCAAACTGCTCTGCGTCAAACTGCTCTGGGTCAAACTGCTCTGCTTCAAACTGCTCTGGGTCAAACTGCTCTGCTTCAAACTGCTCTGGTTCAAACTGCTCTGGGTCAAACTGCTCTGCTTCAAACTGCTCTGCTTCAAACTGCTCTGCTTCAAACTGCTCTGGGTCAAACTGCTCTGCTTCAAACTGCTCTGGGTCAAACTGCTCTGGGTCAAACTGCTCTGCTTCAAACTGCTCTGGTTCAAACTGCTCTGGGTCAAACTGCTCTGCTTCAAACTGCTCTGGGTCAAACTGCTCTGCTTCAAACTGCTCTGCGTCAAACTGCTCTGGTTCAAACTGCTCTGGGTCAAACTGCTCTGGGTCAAACTGCTCTGGGTCAAACTGCTCTGGTTCAAACTGCTCTGGTTCAAACTGCTCTGCTTCAAACTGCTCTGGTTCAAACTGCTCTGGGTCAAACTGCTCTGCTTCAAACTGCTCTGGGTCAAACTGCTCTGGGTCAAACTGCTCTGGTTCAAACTGCTCTGGGTCAAACTGCTCTGGGTCAAACTGCTCTGGGTCAAACTGCTCTGGGTCAAATTGCTCTGGTTCTGTAGGAACCTCACACAGAGAAATGTACAATATCTACACAATGTTTGGATCTTAGGTTCTGATCCTAAACTTGTCTTTACTGTCTCCCAATTATTATTATTATTATTAATATTAATAGTATTAACCTTAATTATTGTAATTACAGTACAGTCATGGCGTGTGTGTGTCTGTGTGTGTGTGTGTGTCTGTGTGTGTGTGTCTGTGTGTGTGTGTCTGTGTGTGTGTGTGTGTGTGTGTGTCTGTGTGTGTGTGTCTGTGTGTGTCTGTGTGTGTGTGTTTTATGGTTGCTTTTTTATTTATTTTGATATTCTTGTATTTTTGTTTTGTTTGCATCTGTTTTGTTGTATCTGTCAATCTTGAGGACTCCCTCAAGAGGCTTATCCTTTAAATAGATAAATGTAAATACATACATTATGTATTGTACAGTGGGGCAAAAAAGTATTTAGTCAGCCACCGATTGTGCAAGTTTTCCCACTTAAAATAAAGACAGGTTTGTAATGTTCATCATAGGTTCACTTCAACTGTGAGAGACAGAATGTGAAGAAAAAAATCCAGGAATTCACATTGTAGGATTTTAAAGAATTTATTTGTAAATGATGGTGGAAAATAAGTATTTGGTCACTTCTCTGGCTCTCACAGACCTGTAACTTCTTCTTTAAGAAGCTCTTCTGTCCTCCACTCGTTACCTGTATTAATGGCACCTGTTTGAACTCATCTGTATAAAAGACACCTGCCCACAGCCTCAAACAGTCAGACTCCAAACTCCACTATGGACAAGACCAGAGAGCTGTCCAAGGACACCAGGAAAAGAATTGTAGACCTGCACCAGACTGGGAAGAGTGAATCTACAATAGGCAAGCAGCTTGGTGTGAACAAATCAACTGTGGGAGCAATTATCAGAAAATGGAAGACATACAAGACCACTGATAATCTCCCTCGATCTGGGGCTCCACGCAAGATCTCATCCCGTGGGGTCAAAATGATCATGAGAACGGTGATCAAATATCCCAGAACGACACGGGGGGACCTGGTGAATGACCTGCAGAGAGCTGGGACCAAAGTAACAAAGGTTACCATCAGTAACACACTACGACGACAGGGAATCAAATCCTGCAGTGCCAGACGTGTCCCCCTGCTGAAGCCAGTGCATGTCCAGGCCCGTCTGAAGTTTGCCAGAGAGCACATGGATGATACAGGCCCGTCTGAAGTTTACCAGAGAGCACATGGATGATACAGCAGAGGATTGGGAGAATGTCATGTGGTCAGATGAAACCAAAGTACAACTGTTTGGTATAAACTCAACTCGTCGTGTTTGGAGGAAGAAGAATACTGAGTTGCATCCCAAGAACACTATACCTACTGTGAAGCATGGGGGTGGAAACATCATGCTTTGGGGCTGTTTTTCTGCTAAGGGGAGAGGACGACTGATGCGTGTTAAGGAAAGAATGATTGGGGCCATGCATTTGAAGATGAAACGTGGCTGGGTCTTCCAGCATGACAATGATCCCAAACACACCGCCCGGGCAACGAAGGAGTGGCTCCGTAAGAAGCATTTGAAAGTCCTGGAGTGGCCTCGCCAGTCTCCAGACCTCAACCCCATTGAAAATGGGGTTGCTCGGCGACAGCCCCAAAACATCACTGCTCTCGAGAAGATCTGTATGGAGGAATGGGCCAAAATACCAGCTACTGTGTGTGCAAACCTGGTAAAGACCTATAAAAATCGTTTGACCTGTTATTGCCAACAAAGGTTATATTGCAAAGTATTGAGTTGAATTTTTGTTATTGACCAAATGCTTATTTTCCACCATAATTTACAAATAAATTCTTTAAAATCCTACAATGTGAATTGTACCGTGTACCATGTACCGTGTACCATGTACCGTGTACCGTGTACCATGTACCATGTACCATGTACCGTGTACCATGTACCGTGTACCATGTACATGTCACCAGTTTCCCCCAATTTATCTTTGGGAATCACATGGTTCAGCATCGTGTGTTTCGAGCAAATATACAAGATTGTTACGAGTATCTTACTCCTGTATCTCCTGATGCACCTGTATCTTACTCCTGTATCTCCTGATGCACCTGTATCTCCTGTATCTCCTGATGCACCTGTATCTTACTCCTGTATCTCCTGATGCACCTGTATCTTACTCCTGTATCTCCTGATGCACCTGTATCTTACTCCTGTATCTCTTGATTCACCTGTATCTCACTCTTGTATCTCCTAATGCACCTGTATCTTACTCTTGTATCTCCTAATGCACCTGTATCTTACTCCTGTATCTCCTGATGCACCTGTATCTCACTCCTGTATCTCCTGATGCACCTGTATCTCACTCTTGTATCTCCTAATGCACCTGTATCTTACTCATGTATCTCCTGATGCACCTGTGTCTCACTCCTGTATCTCCTGATGCACCTGTATGCTACTCCTGTATCTCCTGATGCACCTGTATCTCCTGTATCTCCTGATGCACCTGTATCTTACTCCTGTATCTCCTGATGCACCTGTATCTTACTATATCTCCTGATGCACCTGTATCTTACTCCTGTATCTCCTGATGCACCTGTATCTTACTCCACCTGTGAGCTGTGCGTGTGAGCTGTACCTGTGAGCTGTACCTGTGAGCTGTGCCTGTGAGCTGTGCCTGTGAGCTGTACCTGTGAGCTGTACCTGTGAGCTGTACCTGTGAGCTGTACCTGTGAGCTGTGCCTGTGAGCTGTGCCTGTGAGCTGTGCCTGTGAGCTGTACCTGTGAGCTGTACCTGTGAGCTGTGCCTGTGAGCTGTACCTGTGAGCTGTGCCTGTGAGCTGTGCCTGTGAGCTGTGCCTGTGAGCTGTACCTGTGAGCTGTACCTGTGAGCTGTACCTGTGAGCTGTACCTGTGAGCTGTGCCTGTGAGCTGTGCCTGTGAGCTGTGCCTGTGAGCTGTACCTGTGAGCTGTACCTGTGAGCTGTGCCTGTGAGCTGTACCTGTGAGCTGTGCCTGTGAGCTGTGCCTGTGAGCTGTGCCTGTGAGCTGTACCTGTGAGCTGTGCCTGTGAGCTGTACCTGTGAGCTGTGCCTGTGACCTGTACCTGTGAGCTGTACCTGTGAGCTGTGCCTGTGAGCTGTACCTGTGAGCTGTACCTGTGAGCTGTACCTGTGAGCTGTGCCTGTGACCTGTACCTGTGAGCTGTGCCTGTGAGCTGTACCTGTGAGCTGTGCCTGTGAGCTGTACCTGTGAGCTGTGCCTGTGAGCTGTGCCTGTGAGCTGTACCTGTGAGCTGTACCTGTGAGCTGTGCCTGTGACCTGTACCTGTGACCTGTGCCTGTGACCTGTGCCTGTGAGCTGTGCCTGTGAGCTGTGCCTGTGAGCTGTGCCTGTGAGCTGTACCTGTGAGCTGTGCCTGTGAGCTGTGCCTGTGAGCTGTGCCTGTGAGCTGTACCTGTGAGCTGTGCCTGTGACCTGTACCTGTGAGCTGTACCTGTGAGCTGTACCTGTGAGCTGTGCCTGTGAGCTGTACCTGTGAGCTGTACCTGTGAGCTGTACCTGTGAGCTGTACCTGTGAGCTGTGCCTGTGACCTGTACCTGTGAGCTGTGCCTGTGAGCTGTACCTGTGAGCTGTGCCTGTGAGCTGTGCCTGTGAGCTGTGCCTGTGAGCTGTACCTGTGAGCTGTACCTGTGAGCTGTGCCTGTGACCTGTACCTGTGACCTGTGCCTGTGACCTGTGCCTGTGAGCTGTGCCTGTGAGCTGTGCCTGTGAGCTGTGCCTGTGAGCTGTACCTGTGAGCTGTGCCTGTGAGCTGTGCCTGTGAGCTGTGCCTGTGAGCTGTACCTGTGAGCTGTACCTGTGAGCTGTGCCTGTGAGCTGTGCCTGTGAGCTGTGCCTGTGAGCTGTACCTGTGAGCTGTGCCTGTGAGCTGTACCTGTGAGCTGTACCTGTGAGCTGTGCCTGTGAGCTGTGCCTGTGAGCTGTGCCTGTGACCTGTACCTGTGAGCTGTACCTGTGAGCTGTGCCTGTGAGCTGTACCTGTGAGCTGTGCCTGTGAGCTGTGCCTGTGAGCTGTACCTGTGAGCTGTACCTGTGAGCTGTGCCTGTGAGCTGTGCCTGTGAGCTGTGCCTGTGAGCTGTACCTGTGAGCTGTACCTGTGAGCTGTACCTGTGAGCTGTACCTGTGAGCTGTACCTGTGAGCTGTGCCTGTGACCTGTACCTGTGAGCTGTACCTGTGAGCTGTACCTGTGAGCTGTGCCTGTGAGCTGTGCCTGTGAGCTGTACCTGTGAGCTGTACCTGTGAGCTGTACCTGTGAGCTGTGCCTGTGAGCTGTACCTGTGAGCTGTGCCTGTGAGCTGTGCCTGTGAGCTGTGCCTGTGAGCTGTGCCTGTGAGCTGTACCTGTGAGCTGTACCTGTGAGCTGTGCCTGTGAGCTGTACCTGTGAGCTGTGCCTGTGAGCTGTGCCTGTGAGCTGTACCTGTGAGCTGTACCTGTGAGCTGTACCTGTGAGCTGTACCTGTGAGCTGTACCTGTGAGCTGTGCCTGTGAGCTGTGCCTGTGAGCTGTGCCTGTGAGCTGTGCCTGTGAGCTGTGCCTGTGAGCTGTGCCTGTGAGCTGTACCTGTGAGCTGTACCTGTGAGCTGTGCCTGTGAGCTGTGTTTGGGTTCACAGTTTGGAGCAAAGCCTCAGCCTGACCCTGGAACAATGGTGTCTTTAATGAGCCCTGGGGGTCAGGGGGGTCAGGGGGGGGCGAGGGGGGGCTGCCGGTCATCGGGGGTTGCATAATAGAGGGAGAGGGAGGAGGGGGAGGAGGGGGAGGAGGGGAGGAGGGAGGAGGGGGGAGGAGGGAGGAGGGGGGGGAGGAGGGAGGAGGGAGGAGGGGAGGAGGGGGAGGAAGGGAGGAGGGGGGAGGAGGGAGGAGGGAGGAGGGGGAGGGGGGGGTTCATCACACTTGATCCATCCTGAGATCAAGTGTGATGTGTTTTATGGTCGTGCACTTGAAAGAAAAGGTGCGAGATTCTGCAAAAGAGACTCAGAGGAAGTGTTAGACCCATAGACCCCCCGGACCCTCAAAGACCCCCGGACCCTCACAGACCCCCCGGACCCTCACAGACCCCCCGGACCCTCTCAGACCCCCCGGACCCTCTCAGACCCCCCGGACCCTCTCAGACCCCCCGGACCCTCTCAGACCCCCGGACCCCCCTCTCAGACCCTCTCAGACCCCCCGGACCCTCTCAGACCCTCTCAGACCCCCCGGACCCTCTCAGACCCCCGGACCCTCTCAGACCCTCTCAGACCCCCCGGACCCTCTCAGACCCTCTCAGACCCCCCGGACCCTCTCAGACCCTCTCAGACCCCCCGGACCCTCTCAGACCCCCGGACCCTCTCAGACCCCCCGGACCCTCTCAGACCCTCTCAGACCCCCCGGACCCTCTCAGACCCTCTCAGACCCCCCGGACCCTCTCAGACCCCCGGACCCTCTCAGACCCCCGGACCCTCTCAGACCCCCGGACCCTCTCAGACCCCCCGGACCCTCTCAGACCCCCGGACCCTCTCAGACCCCCGGACCCTCTCAGACCCTTGGTCCCCCACGGTAGAGCACTGCACCTGAGCCCTTGGCCTGAGGGGCCGAGGGCCGTATAATGACCTCGGACACGGACTTTCAGAGCAGATCACATTTACAAACACACACTGAATACAGCGTTCTATCGTACAGCTGTGTGTCATACAGCTGTGTGTCATACAGCTGTGTATCGTACAGTTGTGTGTCATACAGCTGTGTATCATACAGCTGTGTATCATACAGCTGTGTGTCATACAGCTGTGTATCGTACAGCTGTGTATCATACAGCTGTGTATCATACAGCTGTGTATCATACAGCTGTGTGTCATACAGCTGTGTGTCATACAGCTATGTGTCATACAGCTGTGTGTCATACAGCTGTGTATCATACAGCTGTGTGTCACACAGCTGTGTGTCATACAGCTGTGTGTCATACAGCTGTGTATCACACAGCTGTGTATCACACAGCTGTGTGTCATACAGCTGTGTGATACACAGCTGTGTGTCATACAGCTGTGTGTCATACAGCTGTGTATCACACAGCTGTGTGTCATACAGCTGTGTGACAGCTGGTCTGGTCTGGGACCTACAGTGTTGCCATGGCGTCAGATAAAAAGTCAGCTGCTCCTGGAGTTTAGCAAGTGGTGGAAGTTTCAGCGGGTCTTCACACCAACTGCTCATGAACCATGTGGTGAATACAGGTCCAGAGTGTAACGTGTGTGTGTGTGTGTGTGTGTGCGTGCAGATGACCCCGTTGACCCCCGGACCTGCCTCATCTGTGGCGACCGAGCGACGGGTCTTCACTATGGCATCATCTCGTGCGAAGGCTGCAAAGGTTTCTTCAAACGCAGCATCTGCAACAAACGCGTTTATCGCTGCAACCGCGACAAGAACTGCGAGATGTCCAGGAAGCAACGCAACCGCTGCCAGTACTGCCGCCTGCTCAAGTGCCTGCAGATGGGGATGAACCGGAAAGGTGAGGGGGGGGGGGGGGGAGGGAGGGGAGAGGAGGGGGGAGGGAGGAGGGGGGAGGAGAGGAGGTGGAGGAGGTGAGGAGGTGGAGGAGAGGAGGTGGAGGAGGAGTGGAGGAGTACTGCCGCCTGCTCAAGTGCCTGCAGATGGGGATGAACCGGAAAGGTGAGGGGGGGGGGGGGAGGGAGGGGAGAGGAGGGGGGAGGGAGGAGGGGGGAGGAGAGGAGGTGGAGGAGGAGAGGAGGTGAGGAGGTGGAGGAGAGGAGGTGGAGGAGGAGTGGAGGAGTACTGCCGCCTGCTCAAGTGCCTGCAGATGGGGATGAACCGGAAAGGTGAGGGGGGGGGGGGGGAGGGAGGGAGAGGAGGGAGGAGGGGGGAGGAGGAGAGGAGGTGGAGGAGGAGAG